TCAATCTCCCTGGCAGGGAACACTTTACGTTCTTGAGAATTGCACACTTCTTACAAAAAACAAAGCCCCCACTCATGTTGAACATCCCTACTACCGCGTACAATTTTTTCAATAAAACACAATACCCGCGGAAAGGGATTTCTACTTTCTATACGTTAATTTCCAATTCTCATTTCTCCCTATTAACAACTTTTCTATCCAACTGGGAAAAAATTTTCTCTCAACATATTCTGTCACCCATTACTTATAAAGCTTCCCGATGAAGCTCCCACTGGGAATCATATATAAAAATTTTGCACCAATGGTACTTTACACCAGTTAAGCTCTCCCTATTCTACCCTCAACACTCCTCAGCGTGCTGGAGACAGTGAGGAGACATAGGATCAATTCTCCATATACTCTGGACATGCAAGTCTATCAGATCTTATTGGAACAGTGTGTTCCACTTGATCTCCACACTAACCGATTCTTCAGTGACTCCTGGCTGAATGTAAAATAAACAAACAAAAAAAAAAAAAAGAAAAAGAAAAAAGAAAAAACCTGTCTATGGCCAGCGTAAAGTGGTTCTAAAGTGCCTTAAGGCAAAAGACTTTCTGTGCTACAGGTTCCCTCCACCTCCCTTTTTGTTATCTGAGCCCGATCCGATTCAGTGATGTGCACGAGAGCTATGTCTCCCAGCACAGTCTCAAGAGCATGGAGGAGATTCCAGGAGACAGGCAGTTACTCTAGGAGAGTTGATCAGGGCCGTAGAATGTCCTCAACCCATCAGCAGGACAGTTGTGCAAGGAGGAACAGGATGGGGGGGGGGGGGCCGAGCCACCTGTTCTGTGTCAATAGACTCAGACAGGGTGGCTCGGGAGCAAGCCTGCAAAGTGGCTTTCCAGGGGTGCACTCACCGAAGAGGAGGAGCCTGGATCACCAGTAGGGGATCCCAAAAGAGGAGGATCGGGGTTGCTCAGTGAAAAACCATTGCACAGGGCAGGTAAGTATATCGTGTTTGTTATTATAACTATTTGCCAAACGCGCTATAGTCAAATAATGGCTACAGCGTGGTCAGCTGGTTATGGGAGGATGTCTGATCACAGAGAGAGAGGTAAAGGACCAATTCAGCGGCCCTTTACTGTGTGTTCAGCTGTATCCAATCACAGTTGATCACAGTGTAAATAGACTTGTCAGTTAATGGTAGTCTTCTCATGTGCTGTGACAGTGAGAGAAGAGAGCAGGTAACTGGTGATTCTCACAAGGACATCTACAGTGATAATCAGGGAACATCAGCGCCCATTACTGCTGTTTATATGTGCCCATCAGTGCTGCTTATCAGTGCCCATCAGTTATGTCTATCAGTGCCTATCACGCAGCACTGATATGCGACACTGATGGGCACTATCAGTACCGCATATCAGTACAGCCTCACCAGTGCCTCCTCATTAGTGCCCATCAGTTCTGCCTCATCAGTGCCCACTAGTGCGGTCTCATCAGTGCAGCAACATCAGTGTGCAACAGTGAAGGAGAAAAATTACTTATTTGCAACATTTTATAACAGAAACTAAGATTTTTTTGTTTCCTTTTTTTTTTTAAATGTTCAGTCTTTTTTCGTTTAGCAAAAAATAAAAAAAAAAACCCAATCGTGATAAAATACCACCAAAAGAAAGCTCTATCTGTCTAAAAAAAAATGACAAAAATGTAATGGCTACATTGTCGCATGACTACACAATTGTCATTCAAAGTGCGACAGCACTGAAAGTTAAAAACTGACCTGAGCAGAAAGGGGGTGAAAGTGTCCAGCAGGCAAGTGGTTATTTTAACCTCCCTAGCGGTCTGATTATGTCAGTATTTCTGTGCTCAAAGCGGTACTTTTTTTGCATGGAAAGAAGTTTTTTTTTTTATTGTAGGCCTGTAATTCTTGGGAATAACTTGGGAATTCTTGGGAAATCATAAATTATAATATAATAAATAATTATAAAAAATAATAATATGATAATAATAAAAAATGTAATTCAATAATGTAATCAAACCAAAAAACACTGAAATTTGAACTAGAGAGCCAAGTTCGCACATCACTGAGCTTAGTCGCAAAATCGTTTTCAGTGTCTGATGATGAATTTCCCCACACAATCATTATCACTCAATTCTGCAAGTGGTTCTAATTTACTATTGCTGTTCTCTAGCTGGTCTAAAACCGCTTTTGACCTAAAGGGATGCTTTTTGGACGCTTCTCAGTTTCCAGGCAGAAAGAACAGTAAAAATGTAGGCAGGGCACAGGACAAAATGTATGTGAAATGGTTTGATACAGTAATGTTATACTATGAGATTTTAGTGTTTTGAGTGAATATCACTTTTAAAATTTTTGAATTTCCCGCCGGTTCCGTCCCCTGTACATCCCAACGTTTACAGGGAATGGAACCCGGAAGACGAATGCTGGCATCGGCCAGAGGAGATGGCTGGGGACGCTGCAGGGGGGGACATCGCGGGAGTGTAGCTCAGGGTTACCGCTTTTGGTACTGAAAGTTAACCCCGAACTACACTCGGGAATACCGCCAGGGAGGTTAAAAAAATTAAGGTTTAATGTTACTTTAAAAAAAGCAATGGTCTATTTGCTAGGCTAATGGGCAAGAGATTGAAAAATAAAATGGTATGGGGGGACTGGACACTGCCCTGGGGAACATGTACTAGATCAAAAAAAAGGTTTTTTTTTATAAATTCCATTTGGCTAGGAGCAGTAATTTTAATAATGCTTAAAGTGAAGCAATGTAAAATTCCTTTAAATAATATATTTAAACAAAACAATAATGTATGGTCCCCCTCAAAATTCATACCAGACTTATAATCTGAGCATACAATCTGGCTGGTCAGGAAAGAGGAGAGATGAGCATGTGCCCCTCCTCTCGAACCATACCAGGCAATATGCCTTTAACATAGGGAGAGTACCTTGCCAGCCCCCCCTGGCAAATCATCTTATCCCCATGTTTATGGAGATGAGAGCCTCTACCCCAAAACCCTGATCTGGTGGCTGTGGGGGTCTGAGGTTTGGCGGTTATTGGAATCTGTAAGCCCCCTTTTAAAAATAAGGATACATATTTTTTGACAAATACTTTGGTATTAAAAAAACCCAAAAGATGTCCCACAATGATAATCCATCATCAATCACATCATCTAGAGCTGCAGATTCTTGTCAATCATGATGAATGATGCCCATCAACCCACACAAATTAAAAACCTGTCAACGTATCTGATCCCTTCACTTGCCAGACCCTGAGGCTAAATGTTAATAAAGGTATCCATATTTGGTAAATGAAATCCTCCCATTGTTTACATGTGAGTATGAGGGAACATGTACCAACAAAAAAAAAATTTGAAAAAAAAGAAATGATGTTATGTATGGAACAGCAATTTTAAAAATGCTTTAAGGGCAACATTGGAAATGCAAAACTCTTTTAAATAACATCCAGGGAGATGCTATGACCCTGCCTGTGAAGAGGAGCTTCTGCACTGTGTGTAAAAACTGCTGCAATACTGACATTTACTAAGAAAAGAAAAATGCTGTTTAAGTTGACAGCAAATGACAGCTTCAGTTGCTTTATTTCTGTTAGTAAACAGATGGCCAGGGATTCATTTCATCTATACCAGACCCTTATCCTAGATGAGGGTCTGGTATAAATTGTGATGGGGCAACCCCCCAAAAAACAGCAAGGTGGTTCCCCCTCAAAATACATACTAGACCTATATTTTTGATGAGTGTCAGAGAAAAAAATTAATTAATTAAAAAGTATGGTTTAGCAAGGAGGGACACACACTCCTCTTCCACTTTCCTGGCCTGCTAAACTGCATACTCAAATACAAGTCTTGCATGGATTTTTGGAGGTTCCCCCTTAAAATCAACACCACACTCAATGGGTCTGGTATACATTTTCAAGGGGACCCCACACTGATTTAATTTGTTTTAGTGTGAGGTGCTCATTAAAATTCATATAAGACCCAAAGGGTGTTTTTGTTTACGTGTTCAGAGAAACCTGCTACAAATGTACAGTACTTAGCATGATTGGTACTGAAATCTTTTTCTCTACATAGAGAGCAACTCTTTAAAGATAGTTTCTCTTCAAAATCCATGATAGCACAAAATAGCATCAATACTGAATTACAATTTGTGTGTATATATATATATATATATATATATTTATATTTATACACACACACATATTCAAAGCTATACTTCAAACTCATCAACCCCATTCACCATTTGCCCCCTCCTGCTATTAGAGCAGCCATACAGCCTTTTTTCTGGGTGACTTTGGTCCACTCTGGTGATGTCACAGGTCTTCCTCACCCTATTTTTCCTCTGGTGGATGGGAGATCTTAAATACTAAAGAGAATGGTGCCATGTAATGGTGTGGAGATGTTCTTTGAACCATTCTTCTGAGATGTGCAGGGCCATGATGCCATGGGCTCACAGGAAGTAAGCTGAATGACACTGAGCATCATTGAACCTGGAAAAGTCTGCAGGGGACAGCACTGGAGATGGGGTGAGTTTAGCAGACAGATCTTTTTTTATTACCAGTTACTAAGGGATCAATGTATTTGGTCCTTGCCTAAGTTGGAAATGAACTTAGAAATATTGTATGATATTTACACCTATTTTAATGTAAAAGCCTAACAATTTTAGCATTGTTAAATGAAACTACACATCCTAAATATGCTGCAACAAAACATTTTAATGTATGAGAACATTAAGTATTTGACAGAAATTGTTCTGACTTTTATTTCAGCATACACTATTAAATTGTGCCCTTACACAGAAAGGAATTATGCTGGTTTAACAGGGTTGCGACAAAGAGAAATTAAATTAAGCTCTACAATTACTTAGGAAACATCAAGATAAGCTGTCCCTAAGGCACATCTGTACCTGGGAACACAGAAAAGGTATAATTGATCTGAGGTGACCATAAGAACCAAAATTAAATAAAGACATGCTGATAAGCTGTAAGGAAACGAATAAAGAGCCACAATCAGGAAGATGGGAAGTTGAAAAGAAGCAGAATGCTTTTAAGGTAACTTTTAAAACCTGGCAGCATCTGATATCTTAAAGTAAATTTAACCCCTTCCCGCCGGCGCCTCCCAGCCCTTTAAGAGTTTCAGACACTGGGAGGCGGGGTGGGTAGGGCGTGGTTTAGGGATCATGTGACCGCTATGACGCGTCGTCACGGTGGTCACATGATCGGGAAAGGTCCCGATCAAAAGAGCAGACCGGGACCTTTCCGTGAATACCGGACATGTGTGCTGGGAGCATGCAGGGCGCACGTTCTCAGTACATATGTTTTTTCTTACATGAACGCAAATGTGCGGCCGCTCTGCATCTAGGCCCAGATGCCAGGAGGCCCCACATTTGTGTGCGGCCGGCGTAAAGGAGTTTATACAATCACCAAAAACATATATAAGTTTCACCATGCTAAATGTTAAAAGTAGTTTTCAATAGTTTTTTTCATTTGCAGCTTTCATTAAAAATACCCAGTGAAATACCCGGTGATCCTGCCACAAAGGTCCTTGTTCTGGCACCTACAGTCATAAGGTGATAACTATCTCCCAGTTGTGCTCCTGTGTTGTCACTGTCACATTCTCCTTTGGTTGAAACTACAGACAGCTGTGTTAATAAATATTTCGCAGACATGGTTCACCATTGACACTCTCATCAAGACAGTCCACAGATTAAAAAAAAAATACAAAGTTATAACAGGACTAAATTAAACTTAGGTTAATAAGGTACCCTTTATTAATTTTGAAAGGAAATGCTAGGGCTATGTGGCTCTGGACTATGTTCTGGACATCTTGGTACCCACTTTCCTCTCTCATTCTCCACCAGTTACCTACTCTTTCTCCTTCCTTACCAGTTCTGCTTTTGGACATGTGTGACGTGTTTGCATGTCAAACATAGAGATTTTCTGCATGGATACATTCCCCTCAATGGGAGGAACATGTAAATGGATGTGGGTAGTGGTACAGTCTGCTTAAGTTTGCTGGGTGCATGTTCTTTGACCCCGGTCAAATTGTTGGCTCTTGCCAACCTTGAGGAACTGCAGGCTGACTCTTGGGATGACAATTTGTTGGCATTCACTCAGCACCTTGCTTCATCACCACCTATTAAACACACAACATTCAAACCCAAGTCTTTCACCCTGTTCATGAGAACGGTCCTTTTTTAGAAGCTTTTTATCAAGGTGTGTACACAGAATTAGTCAATATGTGTAAGAATTATGATTCTAGCAATAGCCAGCACAACCTAACCAGGGGTGAACAAAAGGCCCTTGAAGATTTATGACACAATTCACACCGTTTCATAGAGGAATGGGCAGAAAAACACAGCGTACCCAGGCACTTCAAAGAGCACCATGATAAGTGTTCTGAAGGCTTAAGAGTCTGGGTTATTGAGGGTATTCCCAAAATATACTCCCCCAGCTAGAATGACTTAAAAGATTATGTGAGCTAGATATACATTTTGGGCATGCTGGCTCCGATGGGTCTTAACGAAGAAATAGAAAATCAGTACCATTATTTAATTCAACTATCATAGTTTCGCCTTTCTCATGGACCTACTAATATTGCCCAATATATGAATTGATGGACACCCGGTCTAAATCCAAACCACCTGTTTAGTTTCATTTTCCTCCTATTTTCTGATGGGTTTAATTTCTTTTATACAAAAATTTTACAAACAATTTTTATATACGTTTTTAATATATTACCATAATTTTTTTCTAAATAATTTCTTTCTTAATTCTGTCTTCCGTATTGATAAGAGTGGGTTATTCTGCTATGACCATGCATTCATGATAGAGGCCAACTAACCAATATAAATGGGACTTGTCTGCTCAGCCAATCAGGTTTGAGGAAGGGGCTGATTGGTGCTCCGAAACACGTTACCAAGGCTACGGACCTACCCCCCTTACGCCACTCCGCTTCTTTCCGTCCACAGTGGTTTCCTTGATGTCACTTCCGGTTCTGCGGTCTTTTTCATCTCTGGGAGCCGGTGCCTCCTGTGGAACGTTGATGTCCATCCCACTTTAGGTTCCACCTGACCCTGGATGCCGATGACATACATCAACAGCATAGGGACTAGCAGAGTGGCTATGGTCTTCACCTATTCTAGGCTTTTAATTCTCCACACACAAGTGAGTGTTTTATGTACGGATCATTAAATTAACCCCCCTCTGGGGGGGGCGCATGCGCGGCCGGCTCCGGAGATGGACACTCAGTGAGGAGAGCTCCATCCTACCGCCAGTCTGACAGCGGCACACTCAGACCCCAGGGAATCTAAATAAGCGGCAATCACTTACCTTCCCCTCGCCATCCGAACGGGCGATAACCCGCCGCCGCAAGACATCAGGGAATCCAGGGAAAATGACAAGTTTTTTCCCTGCAATCTCCTCAGGCTCCCAAGATGGCACTGGCTGCACAGCAAACGGTCTCACAGCACAGCAGGGAGAGAACACAGGATCACAGACAGCATCCCACCCAGATGTCAGGCTGAGAAGATCCTTATACCAAGGGGACCCGGGTGAGTTGTCTCCCCCCTGTCCCCCTCATCCACTAGCCCTGCTAAATCCAGGCCCAAACTTGACACAGGATCACCCCCTGACAGACAGTCATCCCTATCAGCCACAATTCTGACAGGAAACACTCCACCTTTAATTGAATCCTACCCTGCCTCTGACCAGCCTATCACAGAGATTACTATGAAAAACATGCTCCTATCTCTGCGCCAAACGCTACATAATGACATGATGACATCACTATCGCAAATCTCAAATACGGTTCAAATACATGAGACGCGTATCCGCCATATTGAGAACAAATTAGGAGAAATATGTACCACGCACAATGACCTCATAGATGCCCACACAGACCATACAGGTGACATCGAACAAATTAATCTCAAATTGGCAGATTTAGAAGATCGCTCCAGGCGAAACAACATCAAATTCCGTGGTATACCGGAATCCATCACCTCAGAAGCCATTGTCCCATATATTCAAGAGTATATGAAAAATTTAATCCCTGTCCTCACAGAAGTGGAACTAACAATAGATCGAGCGCATCGAATCCCAGCGTCGGTACCCAGAGATACAAAAATTATGCTCGCAGCAAGAAATTTCACCTCAACTTCCTCAGACCAAGCAAACATTAAACTGTTCGCAGACCTATCCAAAGCCACACTCGCCAACCCTAAAAAGCTTATCACCATAACTAAAGCTTTACGGAACCATGGGATTGGATATCAATGGGGCTTTCCCACAAAATTAAATGTCAAACACCAAGGCAAATTTTACACAATCAAATCTCTAGAAGCAGGCATCGAATTACTGAAAACGTGGAACATCATTCCAGTGGACTTCCAACGATCAACACACAACAGGCCACAACGGATGGAAGCAGAATGACTATAAACCCACACACAATTGTTCTCTCTTCTAGCCCAATACCCTGGGCCTCACCAAAGCAGTTCATAAGCGAAATCTCGTGTGCTCAAGGACTCAGGCGGGTGGCAAATAGATGGAACCAGACCTGGAAAGATCGACCACCAATGCATGTAGAGTTGTGCAGCTCCAAATAAGGCTGGGGAAGCCCGACCAATACTGCAAATCGAAACAAAAATGTTTTTGTTTAGATTTGCAGTATTGGCCTCACCAAAGCAGTACCTGGCGATCGGCCCTAGATCGAATATATCTAGACTTCAAGTTCGTTTCAGGCATGAGTCATGCCTATCCGTGCCTCCTCAGTCTACAGTAGCTATTTTTGCTACATGTTACCTATTTTTTTTACAGGTCTTTTTTATCCCTGTTTTTTCCCCAATCTACCAGTCAACAGTCGCCAACACCACCCCTCTCAATGAACCCATTTACACTAATGAACACTCTCACTACAACCAAGACCAACCTATACCTAGTGAATTATATACTCACCGCTCCACCACCTCTGTCAAGCGAGACAATGCACATCTTTGCAATTCCTGAATAGTCACCGCAACAAGATTGTACCCATCTACTACCAGTAATATGATTACTATAACTTTGCTAAATGTCCGGGGCCTCAACTCCCCCTTCAAAACAAACGATCTTTGCTCTCTAGAGAAATTCGCTCCATACATCCGGACATTCTATTCCTACAAGAGACTCACTTTGCATCATCCAAAATTCCTAAACTCAACATTCCCCACTTTTCCAAAATGTACATGGCAACAAACCCCAAAAAGAAAAATGGCATTATTACAGCCATAAAAGACTCCCTACAATTCCAGCTCATCTCTGAAATATCAGATCCTCAGGGACGCTACCACATATTAATCTGCAAAATCAGCGATACTCCATACACACTGGTGAACGTCTATGGTCCCAACTCCAACAAACTCCAATTCTTCAACAAACTTAATCCCATCATTGCTCAGCAAAGAAAAGGCAGAATACTCATCGACGGAGATTTTAACATCACCGGCAATCCTCTTCTGGACTCCTCTTCAAAAAAGAGAGCTTCAAAACAGTCCTTTAACCAATTTCTTCACTCCAATGACCTTTACGATATCTGGAGATGTCAACACAGTACAGAAAAGGACTATACCTATTACTCTCCATCCAACCTTTCATGCTCCAGAATCGACTTCTTCATCACTGACAAGTGGACCCTACAACACGTCACTTCCTCCAAGATGGGAACTATTACATGGTCAGGCCATGCTCCAATTACTATCTCTCTTGATGACATACAACATTCCAAGATTCCCCGAATATGGCGTCTGAATACGATTTGTTGAAAAATCGGGACTACAAACAACAAATAATAGATGCTGACAAGTCATTTTTTGAACTTAACGATACACCTGATATTTCCATATCCATCCTTTGGTCAACCTATAAAGCATACATGAGAGGTATTTTGATTTAATTAAATTCCCGTATTACCAAAATTAGAACCCAACAAATAGACAAACTCCTCATATCGATTAAATCAAAAGAGGAAAAAACACAAAAAATCCCCAGGCCAAACAACCTCCGCATCCCTCACTGCAGACAGAAACAAACTAAGATCCCTCCTACTATAAAAATATGATCTAAATCTCCAAAAAAATTAAAGCCAAATTCTACTCATTAGGTAATAAAGCCAGTTCACTATTATCCAAAACAATAAAACAAAAACGTTTAAAATCCAAAATAGCTTCAATCAAAAATCCATCTACAAATTCCCTTCACACTAACCCATAAGAAATAGCTAATACCTTTGCAGAATATTATCAAAACCTATACAACCTCAAAAATGACACAAACACCATTCAACCGACAGTCACATCCATCCAACAATTTCTTCACAAGACCAACCTCCCCAAACTATCCCCGGACCAACTTGACGCCATCTCTATCCCTATTTCCCCCAAAGAAATAGAATCAAACATCAAAACACTCCCACTCAACAAATCTCCAGGAAATGACGGATACCCTAACGAATACTACAAACATCTTTCCACAGACCTATCCCCATATCTTTCCAAACTTTTTAACCACGCCGCCACAACAAGTTCATTTCCCAAGGACATGCTGCAATCCATTATAACGACCATTCCAAAACCTGGCAACGACCCGCGACTGGTCCAAAATTACAGACCAATCTCAATACTGACATAAAATTATACGCGAAAATTATATCTCGGAGACTTCTCCCATACCTCCCCACTCTTATCCACCCAGACCAAGTAGGCTTCATCCCAGGTCACCAAGCACCCGATGCGACCAGAAGACTTATTTCTCTCATACACAACTTAGAAAACACCAAATACCCCTCCTTACTCTTATCTCTAGATGCAGAAAAAGCATTCGACCGGATACATTGGCAATTTATGCAACTCACTCTCCAAAAATTTGGGATCACAGGCTGGATGCTTAACGCCATCTTATTACTATACTCACAACCATCCGCCAGAGTTTTGACAGATGGCACATTGCCTGACCCATTCGACATCTCTAACGGCACCAGACAAGGTTGTCCACTTTCCCCAATAATATTTACTCTCCTTATTGAACCCCTAGCATCCAAACTCAGAGAAGACCGATCCTTCTCAGGTATCACACATCTCAACATAGAACACAAAAATTAGCCTATTTGCAGATGATATCATACTGATGGTAACCAACCCAAAAACGTCTCTTAAAACAATTCGCTCACACCTCTATGACTACTCGATAGTATCATTCTATAAAATCAACGAAGCCAAATCCTCCATACTAAACCTTCACACTCTACCGCATATCCAAACCCTACTAGCGACCAAATTCCCCTTCTCATGGGAAACAAACCACATCCCTTATTTAGGTATCAAACTCACACCAACAACGGATCAACTATACTCCGCAAAGCACAAAACTCTACTTGAAAATATTCCTCGAGAACTAACCACACTCCGTACTTCAGAACTCTCCAAATTGGGTCGAGTGGCAACATTAAAAATGTTCATTCTACCCAAAATCCTATACATATTCCGTACACTCCCAATCACAATTCCTAAATAATTTTTTTCTAGCCTACAAACAATCTTCACAAAATTCCTATGGAATTCCAAAAAACCCAGATGCACCACAAACCTAATAATACGCCCTACAACGAAAGGAGGGGCAGGTCTCCCACACCTCAAATCTTACTACACCGTGACGCTCCTGGATCAAATGTACTTTTGGTGGAACCCATCAAAGGAAAAAAACTTGGTCCATAATGGAAACCCTCTCTCTTTACCCCTTGAAACCCCAAAACCTAATCCTAATTCCACCAACCAACCACATAGAACACAAAATAAAACACCCCTGTATACGAGCCTCTCTACAATCCTGGCGTGATCTACTGTCCACCAATTTCAAAGACATCAAACAAATCCCCATTCCAACTAATTTACTACATCTGTTTATACCCTCGTTAGAACTATCGCATTGGACAAAACAAGGCATAATTAATATTTCAGACCTCTACACCAACTAATCTATACGCCCCTTTCATGCTCTTCAAACAAAATATAATCTACCTATATCTGAAAATTTCACATACCTAAGAATTACTCACTGCCTACAAACAACAATAATACCTCACACTACCAAATTACCTTCTACAGCATACCTTTTTCTCACCAAGTCTAAATACCCAGGTAAAGGCATCTCTACCTTTCATACTTACCTCAATAACCTACAATTCACGCTACAAAATACCTCTCTTACCAACTGGGAAAAAATCCTACCAGAACCAATAAATTCACAATGCTGGGAAAATGCTTTCACAAATACATATAAAGCTACCCGATGCAGCTCCCACTGGGAATCATACCTAAAGATCCTCTACCAATGGTATCTGACTCCGGCCAAACTCTCTCTCTACTGCCCAAACCACTCCCCTGCATGCTGGAGACAATGCGGGGAAACGGGCTCAACGATACATATCCTGTGGTCTTGTAAATCACTTAGATCCTTCTGGAATACTACCTTCCAACTAATATCTGACATAGCCAAAAGTGTAACTACCCCGAATCCCTCATTAGCACTTCTACATATCGAGATTGAAAAATTTCCCTCTCACTCCCGCACAATTATCACCCACATTCTCTTTGCGGCCAAAATAAACATCACTAGACTATGGAACTCAAAAAACACACCCCCTCAATCACCTCACTGATTACAGACCTCAACTTCCAATGCGAAATGGAGACAAAATGGGAAATCAACACTTCCTCCCTCCTTAAATTCAACCACAAATGGACCCGATAGTTAAATCACCCAAAATGCTCTGTACAACCCTGATAACACTCAACATATAAAAACATCACCTAATCCCTGACTGGTACATCCTTCCCCACCTAGTTACACCTCTCCCCCCCCTTTCCTCCATCCCCCCTACCAATAACCCCCCTAACATCCCAACCCCTCACCAAAGTTTTTCATTCATATATAAATACCTCTGATGATATAGCTAATTAAGACCAAATTCATCAGTGCCTCAAAAGTGAAATAACAACTACACTGCTCAAATGTACAATGTTTATTGTATTGTATTATGATATGAATGAACAATGTTTTTATTTCCTTGTTCTCCTTTTCTTTGAAAATCCTAATAAAAATATTTTTAAAATAAATTAATTCTCCAATACTGCAATTAGAGGCACCCCTTTGTGTTGTTTTAAGTGTCTAAATGAGGTTGCATGAAATCAGCAAGAGATGCAAAAAAAGGATGAAAAAAGTAAAAACAGTATTTTAAGGAGAAAAACACAATTGTTTTAAAACACACTGTGTTTTAGTAAAATAAAATGTCATCCAGTTATGGTTTAGATATACGTTAATTGTCACAAGTTAGCCTACAGTTTCTTGTTTCTGTTCTTACCTTGTTGTCTGCTGTTCTCTGGGTTTTATTTCCTTCCTTTCCATCACTTCCTGGTCCGCCTCCTTGTTTGTCTGCCTATATAAGACATGCTCAGTCTAGGCCACTTTGCCTGAGCAACTTCCCAGTTGTCTGAGCTCCTGTGTGTGTTGCTATTGCCGTATCCTGCATTGACTACCCGTGTTCCGACCCCGTTTTCTGTGCTTGTTTTCCACCCGTCCTGAGCTCAGCTAGTCTATCGGATTTCTGTTTGTCTCCTCCCATTGTACTTTGCTCCTGCAAACGGTCTCCTCATCCTCAGCTGGGCATACCTGGAGGCCGCGACCTGGTCCCAGCTTGCTGCAAGTCCATCCCCACCATCAGGGGCTCTGGTGAAGAATCAGGCTGGGGCTTAGACTCCATGCCCTGGGGAACCCCAAGTTGAATATCTACAAGGGCTCACTACAACAGGTGCTGACATTAATCTTAACTACCTGCCGACCGCAGATAGCCGATTGACGGCTGCACTGCGGCCGGCCAGTTCTGGGTGGACGTCATATGATGTCCTCCCAGAACGCGCTCTCCTGCCGCGCCCCAGGGGGCGCGCACATGGCGATCTCCGTGATCGCTGTGTCCTACGGACACAGCTGATCACGTGATGTGGTAAAAGGCCAATCACAGCGGCCTTTTACCACGTGATCAGCGGTGTCCAATGACACGCTGATCAGAGGAAAATGCAAGTGCCGGTTCTCGGCTGCACTTTCCTCACGCTGTCAGATCGTGAGGAAAGTACTGCCGAGAACCGGCAGTTGTCAGAGCGGGGATCGGCACCGATCATCAGGGCACTGATGATCAGTGCCCTGATGATCGGTGCCCAGCAGTGCCACCCGCAAGCTCCGCCCACCTGTGCCCAGCAGTGCGCCCACTAGCTCCGCCCACCTGTGCCCAGCAGATCACCCACCTGTGCCCAGCAGTGCACCCACCTGTGCCCAGCAGTGCACCCACCTGTGCCACTCTGCAGTGTCACACACCTGTGCCCAGAAGTGCCACCCACCTGTGCCCAGCAGTGCCACCCACCTGTGCCCACCCACCAGTGCTGCCAGTCAGTGCCACCAGTCAGTGCCCAGGGGTTGTGCCAGTCAGTGCCGCCAGTCAGTGCCCAGCAGTGATGCCAGTCAGTGCCGTCTATCAGTACCCATCATCAGTGTCACCTATCAGTGCTGCCTATCAGTGCTGCATATTAGTGCCGCCTATCCGTGACACCTCATTAGTGCTGTCTATCAGTGCCGCCTATCCGTGCCACCTCATTAGTACTGCCTATCAGTGCCCTTTAGTGCTGCCTATCAGTGCCCATCAGTGCTGCCTATCAGTGCCCATCAGTGCTGCCTCATCAACGCACATCAGTGAAGGAGAAAAATTACCTGTTTGAAAAATTTTATAATAGAAACAAAGAAACTTTTTTTTTTCAAATTTTTTGCAATTTTTGTATTTATAGCACAAAAAGTAAAGCGCTCAGTGGCAATTAAATACCACCAAAAGAAAGCTCTATTTGTGAGAAAAAAAATGATCAAAATTTCATATGGGTACAATGTTGCATGACCGCGCAATTGTCAATCAAAGTGCGGCAGCACTGAAAGCTGAAAATTGGCCTGGTAAAGAAGGGGGTATAAGTGCCTGGTAGGCAAGTGGTTAAATAGGATAGGAAAGAATATTTTTTTTCAGAAAAAATTAGCAAAATTTGATGACATTTTTTTACTTTAAATTACTTCCATTAGGGTGGAATGAAGAAGCATGAGATTACTCATCAAATTGTTAGGAGTCTCCAGTAAGAAAATCCTTCCCTACCATTCAGATACATAACTAGAACCTTCAGGGCCCCGATGCAAGAAACCATGAAGGGTCCCCCTGACCACCCCCTTTTCTCCAAACCCAGGGCCCTTCCCATTGATCCAGGGGCCCTTAATTCACATTGTGGGGTCCTTTATTAAGGTCATGCAGCTGAACCCCTTCATATGTCTTGCAACAGGCCCCCTCCCTGCCATATTGGGTAGTATTGCCGCCTTTTCTTCAAGCCAAACCCAAACAGTTTAGTGGCACACAGCAAATTTTCTTTTTGTAGTTGACACTATACACTACATATATTTTAGGATTAAATAACATTTTTAATCACAAGAGTCTACCCTTACATTACCATCCACAGAGTTACCCCTTTACATCTGAATCCACAGAGTTGCCCTTTACATTTGAATCCACAGAGTTCCACTTTACATCTGAATTCGCAGAGTTTCCCCTTTCATCTAAATTCGCAGAGTTCCCTTACACTGTAAGGGGAGACTCTGCAGACTCTGATGTAAGGGAGAACTCTGAGGAATCTACTTTAACGGGGAACACTGACAACTCTGACATCAGAGTCCACAGAGCGCCCCTTACATCAGAGTCCACAGAGTGCCCCTTACATCAGAGTCCACAGAGCACCCCCTACATCAGAGTCCACAGACCCCCCTCTTACAGCAGAGTCTGCAGATCCCCCCCCTTACATCAGATTCTGCGGAGCCCCTCCTTACATCAGCGTCTTCAGAATTTCCACTTAAATAGTAATAAAGTAAATAGTGAGCGCAAGGAACAAATATAGGAAGCAGCTAGCACAACGTGGCAAACCCTCCGTCTCCACTAAACAAACAATAGTAATAATAAAGTGCAGCGCTGAAGAAAAAGGTTAAATTGAAATAAAAACTAGTGTCACCACACAGAATAAAAATCAAACATGCAAAATGCTAATGTACAAGTGATGTACAATAATATTAGTCCCCAAATAGGGTAAAAAGTAATAGTCCCAAAATTGTGATCAATCAAAGAAAATATATGTATAAGTGACTCCTGTGACTTCCACATTAATCTTCCACCATTATGCGCTCACTAGAAGCAAGTAGCAAACCAGCATAGAACGGACAGACACTTAAGGGCAACTGCTCAATTCTCATTTCCAGTCAGCGGTCTATCCAGGCAGTGGTGTCCCGAGGGAGGTGTGGGCCGCACTGGGGGACACCATTACAGGGGGGTGCAGGAGCAGGATCCCAGCAGAACTTCTGGGCTCTGTGAAGGTACTGGCCAGTTATTGGGGTGATCCTGGATTCCCGTCACAGTGACATCTCCCCCCGGTGTAGCAGTAAAATGAGTATCCTGTCCTGTGAAGATATGTATCCCCTGAAGAAACTGCACATGTGCCGATTTCAGGCCGAAGAAGCCAATCGCCGATGTCTGACTTTAGCACAGAGCTGCCACAGTTACCCCCTTACAGGCTGCAAACCTCTGAAGCTGATCCCATGGATCACTATGGGTTGCAAGATCAGTTAACCCTGTATAGGTTCAACCTATACGGGGTTAACTGAACTTGCAACCCATAGAGATTCCACGGGATCAGCTTCAGCGGTTTGCAGTCTTTAAGGGGATAACTGTGGCAGCTCTGTGCTAATGTCGGAGATCGGCTTCTTTGGCCTGAAACTGGCACATACACAGCTGATTCAAGGGATACATATCTTCACGGGTCCAGGATACTCATTTTACCGCTACACCGACACCGCTCCTTTCTTTCTGGAGGGGTGACACCATCTGTTGCCGCATCGGGTGACACCAACCTTAGGGACGCCTCTGTATCCAGGGGTGGGATCTCTCCAGAAGCCAGCAGCAAACCAGGAAGGAACAGACTGACACTTAAGGGCAAACTTGCTCCATATCCATCTCCAGCCAATGGTCAATCCAGGGATAGGATTCCTCCTAGAGTGCAAGCTCGTAAACTGAGCCCGGAGACAGCATCATATAGTGTAGTATGTTTATTTAAAATCTAGCAACCATGTGGAGCTTTCTTACAAAACAATGGATAAAAACTCTTACAAAGATGGCTGCCAGACCATCACGTGGATGCTGCAGTGTGACGCCAGAACGTAGGCTCCACTCTGACACGTTTCGTGCACACGCACGTTCTCAAAAGGGATCTGCCTAGTGCCGATGCCATGACAGTGGATGCCTTATATAGGTCTAGGGCACGTGACCAAGCCAACGCCATTTTGTTGAAGGCATATGGTCGGGCAAGTGCCATTTTGCTGTAGTCCAGAGACTCATAACTGCCTTAAACCAGAGCATGGAAGGATCGCTCAATGTACGATCTACAGAGTATCATCAAGGCTAACATAAGTGTGGGATACCAATTGCCCACACATCAAAGGGTGAAACAAAAGGATTTGGAAGACAAAGATCCTAAAAAGAGATCTCTCTGATTGTGTGCAAACTTTAGGGGGCCATTAATACCCATAGGGGTATTGAATCCTACATATGGCCAGAATATACTGACAGCACACTAGTGATGACACCAGGCTGCATGATATCTAGTTGAACAAGGCTGTGATTATATGCACACTATAAGGGAGCCATAAACACTCATAGGGGAAATGAATCATATACTGACAGCACACTAGTGATGACACCAGGCTGCATGATATCTGGTTACACAAGGCTGTGATGAAAACTGGTCTTAACATGTGATAAATAGCACATACATGAAAACATATGCAAAAAAAAAAAAATATATATATATATATATATATATATATATATATATATATATATATAAACAGAACATTCTCTCTCTAAGCATTTTAGGGATTGTCATCTGAGGGACCCCTCCTGTTTGTCATTTATGGGAATAGATCCTGTGCGCCCCATTGGAGGGGAAATAATAAATGCAGAGCAGTATCTAGATTGGAAACAAAGTGGATTCATGAAATGGGTACCTTGGCCCCCTTAGGGCATAACATTGATATAGACGTTGCTTTAGTTATAATAGCTAGCCCTTCTGCCAATACTCCTTAGGGTATCTGAGTACTTACAATTAGTGACATGACTGCAGATAACCAAGCAGTCTCGACTAAGAATCTGGTCTGGAGGACTCACTGGAGAGTGCCAGATGGAAACTGGAAAGTGTGTAGCTGTCTTAACCCCTCCCTCACTGAAGAGTGTCTGGTGGAAGCTAGGAACTGAGTTGTTGTTATGAAACAGAGAGGTCTACATGAAACAGGGGAGTACAGCTGTCATGGAGAGATACTGCAAGAATGGAACTGAGCTCAAAGATCAAAGAGATTTTGTGTCATTTTTGCAGGAAAAGTGCCAGCTGTAGCTCTTTTCTGAGACAAGTGTCACAGGATCTCAGTCCCGACCATTTCTATAAACCCCTGGCATAGAGACTGTCTAAACTAGTCAAGAATGTCTCATGTTACTATTCAGTGTGCTTTGAGTATCCCTTACCACCTTCACCCCTCTGCTATCCCAAGTTCCACAAGCAATAAACTACAGTAACACAACCCCTAGACTGTTTATTGGAGCCAGAGTAAAGAGACTGTTGCTTCTATGACTGGTGTCTTCTGCATTTTTTGGGAGAGAACCAGTTAAAATCTGTAGCCATTTTGGGGGTAATGCTACATCTACAAAACTACCTATTAAACTTAACTTCCTATTAGAACCTTAAAAGCTAAAATGAAAATGTGGGTGCTAATAGCTGAACCTTTAAAAGCTAAAATGAAAAAAAAACGATTTTCCTTTTCATGGATCCTAATTAGTTTGTTGTCCCTAAGATACATGTTTACATAGCTCTAATGGACCCATCTTCTCTGACCCATCTTTATATACTCTATTTAATAAAAGGTCAGGCACATCCTGTTATGGCCACAGTGGGGATTTATTTTGTTCTCCATTGTGGTTTTGAAGACATCTAACAATCCAATGAAAGACAGACTCAATACTGTACTCAATTCAAAATATCCATGTATAGTACAGTTTAAATTTAATAGATAAGCTCACCTTTCAGAGCATGTTACATGCTACACCCATGTTTAGGGTGTAACATGTCTAATGCTCCTATGCACCAGCCTCCTGCAGCCAGACCTCCCCTCTTTGTGACAGTGAAAGGGAGATCCTCTCCCCACATTTACTGTCACATTTTGAAAACAGCGTAGCTTTGCCCACACAGCCGCCTCTATTAATTTGCAGATTGCAGTGAATGAATAAAGTACAAGTCCAGTTGACACTGACTGATAGTATCAATGAACTGCAGGCACTTTAGCATCACACTCATAGTTCATTCACACTGCCTATAGCTCAGAAACTGTCTGCCCATACAAAGGTAGCCTGACAATGATTGTGGGTGCAATGCCCTGTGGGCTCCAGGGAAAAAAAAATTAACACTTTGATTTCTGCAAAAATATATGCATGTAAAATTTTTTTTCACAAAGTTGAACTTAGCCTTTGATATAAAAATGCTAAACTCCATATGTAGCAACTAACATTACCTATGTTTAATCCTTATGCTGCAAGCCTTAGTAAATCGATTGAAAGGTATATTTTAGTTACTTGTTTTAAACTTTTTTTTTTTACATTTCTTCAGTTGCTTCTTGATTTCTGACGTAGGCCAAAACATACATCTCAGAAGTATTCAGAACATTTTTTGTCTTTCATTCCTGCATTCCTGAGTTAAGTGCAGATGGATTCCAGGAAGTAAATGCTACATGAATCATCTGTGTTTACTCAAGATGGCCACAACTAGAAATTCTAAGGGTGTGTTTATAAAAGTGATTTCTCAACAAAATAAAGGATGGAGACATGGATAGATGGGTGTGTTTACTTTGAATTTGCTTTCCTCTTTAACCACTTGCCTACAGGGCACTGATACCCCCTTCCTTCCCAGGCCAATTTTCAGCTTTGAGTGCTGTCATACTTTGAATGACAATTGCGCGGTCATGCAACACTGTACCCATATGAAATTTGTATATTTTTTTTTGAGACAGATAGAGCTTTCTTTTGGTATTTAATCACCTCTGTTTTTTTATTTTTTGCTAAACAAACAAAAAGTTTTTTTCTTAGTTTTTGTTATACAATTTTGTAAATAAGTTATTTTTATCCTTCACTGATGTGCGCTAATGAGGCTGCAGTGATGGGCACTGATAGGTGGCACTGATTAGGAGGCACTGATAGGTGGCTCTGATGGGCATTAACAGGCATCACTGATGGGCACTGAAAGGCAGCACTCATATGGCACTGATAGATGGCACTGACTGGCATTGTTAGGTGGCACTGATAGGCAGCACTGATGGGCACTGATAGGTGGCACTAACTGGCACTGATAGGTGGCACTGACTGGCATTGATAGGTGGCACTGATAGGTGGCACTGAAAGGCAGCTCAGATGGGCACTGGTATGTGGCATTGATGTGCACTGGTGGTCACTAATGTGGCACTGGCAGGTGGCATTGATGAGAACTGACAGCTGGCATTGATTGGCACTGACAGGAGGCACTGCAGGGGCTACACTGATCATCAGGGCACACTGATCATCAGTACCCTGATGATCAGTGTAAATGTCCCCTCTGTGGAATGCCGATTACCAGCTCTCCTGTCCTCTCCTCTTGAGCATGACAGCACATGAGGAGAGAAATGCCGATAACCGGCATTTCCTTATTTACATGCGATCAGCTGTGATTGGACACAGCTGATCAAATGACCGAGCCGACGTCTTCGGCTCTTTCCGTCGATTGGTGATCCGCTGTGCGCGATTAGTGTGGGAGGATGTCATATGATGCCCTCCCAGAACGAGAGAACTGCCTTGCGCCCATCATTTCCTTAATTGGCGGGCGGGAGGCAGTTAAATAGTGGTAACTTTTTTTTTTTAATTACTTTGTGGCCAAGATTACTCTGTTGTATTGTGGAAACATGCACAAATGAATGGGCTGCCTTAATGCTATGCACATAACATGCATTGCATTTACGCACCTCAAAAGTGTGATCCATTGTAGATGTCCATGGTGGAGAAACTTCTTCTAAGCTCTTTTCTCATGGACCACACAGAAGAAAAAACATTCTCCCCAGCAGGATTTAAATATCATAGATCTGTGAATCAAACAGACAATCTAGACCACCACTTTATTCATTCAGCAAATGTAGCAAACAAAAAATCATTCAAGGCACTTGACAAAAATGCATTCCCCAACCAAAACAAACACCTGTTTGGTATCAGCTTCTACTATGATTTTAAACCAAACTGCCTTTTACACCATAGCCCAAATAAAACAAAAATCTAGTTTATACCCTTCAGTTTGCTGTTTTTAATATGTCACAAGTATTTGCTGTTTTGTGTGCCACAAGTCTGCCTTATGTTTTTTATACCTCTTCCCCCTACATGGTTAACAAAAAATGTACAATCCATATAAAACTATCTGTAGTGTTGCTTGGAGAAGATCAGACCTTTGAAACACACATTAACCACTTGAGCTCCTGAGGATTTACCCCCCTTAATGACCAGGCCTCTTTTTGCTACTCGGCGCTGCACTAATTCAACTGATAATTGTGCGGTCATACAATGCTGCACCCAAACGAAATTTACGTCCTTTTTTTCACACAAATAGAGCTTTCTTTCGGTGGTATTTGATCACCTGTGTGCTTTTTATTTTTCACGCTATAAACAAGAAAAGACCAAACATTTTGAACAAAAACAATATTTTTACTTTCAGCTATAAAAAAATATATAGTAAACTCAAAGTTAGTTATAAATTTAGGCTAAAATGTATTCTGCTACATGTTTTTGGTAAAAAAAATCCCAATAAGTGTATATTGATTGCTTTGTGTGAAAGTTAAAGCGTCTACAAACTATGGTATAGATACTGCAATTTACGCCATTTTTTTGCTATACAGCACTGCGCTAGTTCAGCGGACAATTGCGCGGTCATGCAATATGGTACATAAATGAAATTTATGTCCTTTTTTTAACACAAATAGAGCTTTCTTTTGGTGCTATAACCAGAAAACTTTTGAAGAAAAGATTTTTTTTTTTAAAAAAAAAACAATATTTTCTCATTTCGGTCATAAAAAATATCCAAAAAACTAAATTTTCATCGTAAATTTAGGCCAAAATGTATTCTGCTACATGTTTTTGATTGAAAAATTCCCAATAAGTGTATATTGATTGCTTTGTGTGAAAGTTATAGCGTCTACAAAATATGGTATAGATAATGGAATTTACACAGCTTTTACTTTCTGACTGTTCATCACATTTCTTGAGGTGCAAAAATACCAGGATAGTATAAACACCCTCAAATGACCCCTTTTCGGAAAGTAGACACCCTAAGCTATCTGCTGAAAGGCATATTGAGTCCATGGAAGATTTATTTTTTTTCCAAAAGTTTCTGGAAAATGACAAAACTTTTTTTTTTTTTACACAAAGTTTTCATTTAAATGATTTATTTCTCGCACAAGCCATGGGTATATGTGGAATTACACCCCAAAATACATTCTGCTACTTCTACCGAGTATGGGGATACCACGTGTGTGAGACTTTTTGGGAGCCTAGCCACATACAGGAGCCTAAAATCTAATGACCACTTTGAAAGCCTGAAGGTGCATAACTTCCTCATTACACTTCCTCACTACCTATCACAGTTTCAAAGGCCCAAATATGCCAGCACCAAACCCCCCAAATGACCCCTTTCTGGAAAGTAGACACCCCGAGGAATTTAAAAAGAGGCATAGTGAGTATTTTGCAGATCTAATTTTTTCACAAGGTTTTGAAATATAAAAAAAATAGAAAAAATTTGTTTTTGTTTTTTTTTCTTCATTTTCTAAAAACTTGTGGCAACAAATGAGATCTGCAAAATACTTACCATGCTTTTAATCAAATTCCTTGGGGTTTCTACTTTCCAAAAAGGGGTCATTTGGGGGGGTTAGGTGCTATCCTGGCATTTCAGGGCCTCTAAAACTGTGATAGGTAGTCAGGAAGTGTAATGAGGAAATAAAGCCCTTTAAAAGCCTGAAGTTGCTTATTGGATTTTGGGGTCTTGTGCTTGGCTAGACTGCCAAAACGTCTCTTACATGTGGTACCCCCATACTTGGGAGAAGTAGCAGAATGTATTTTGGGGAGTAATTCCACATATACCCATGGCAAGTGTGAGCAGTAAATCATTTAAGTGACAATTTTGCGTAAAAAAAATAAAAAAAAAAAATTGTCATTTTCCAGAAACTTGTGGTAAAAAAATAAATTCTTCTATTGATTCAACATGCCTCTCAGCAAATAGTTTGGGGTGTCTATTTTCCATAAAGGGGTCATTTTGGGGAGTGGGAGTGTTTTATGCCCAGCATTAGAAGTTTATGCCACACATCACTCACTCTTCTAACCACCTGAAGATCAAGCCTTTTCTGACACTTTTTGTTCACATGAAACAAATCAGTATTCTTTGCTAAGAAATTAATTTAACCCCCAAACATAATTTTTTTTTTTAAAGCAGACACCCTAGTGAATAAAATGGTGGGTACTACAATTTTTTATGGCACATAGTACTCGTGCAGTGATTTTTCAAAAGCAAATTTTAAAAAACAAATACACTTTTTTTACTTTTAATGCACAAAAACATAATATATTGGTCAATTATTTCGTAAAGTATAAAAGATAATGGTATGCCGAGTAAATAGATACCAAACATGACATGCTTTAGAACTGCACATGCCCCGTGCAATGGCGACAATCTGCAAACATTTTTAATATCCATAAGCAACGTTTTTAAAAGCCTTTAAAAGCTACCATTTTAGATTTACAGAGGAGGTCCAGCATTAGAATTACTGCCCTTGATCTGACGTTCATGGCAATACCTCACATGAATGCTGCAACAGCTGTTTACATACCGTCACAGGGTCAAGGCTTGTGCACACAGGTGTGCGCGCATGGGAGGGCCAATTTTTTTTTTTCCGTTATTTTGATTCTTTTTTTATTATTTTTACATTTGTACCTTTCATTTTTTTTTGCTTTGATCACTTCTAATGCTATAACAGGGAATGCAAATATCCCCCATAACTTCAATGGGTATTGTCATATATTCTTTTTTGAGAAATCTGGGGTATATCAGACTCTTGATATCTCCTCTGCCCTTACATTATCTAATCAAACCAAAATCGATGTGATCCGATGCTTTCCCAATTTACAAATGGCGCTGTTTATATCCTGCAAAACTGAAGTGATGAAATGCTTGTAGCTTCCGAATTCTTAGGCTATAGAGATGATTGGAACCATTCTGATCTCCAATCAGCTCTATGGTCAGCTGGCAGAAACACCGGCTGCATTCTCAGGTTCCCCCGATGGCACAAGACTGCCTCAGAAGGCAGCGGGGGAGAGGGGGCATCACCTCCCACTGCTTGTAAAAGCAATCCTGCAGCTAATTAGCCACTAGGATTGCACTTACATGAAAGCTAAAAAAACGATACCAGGATGATGCCTGCAGCTGTAGGCATCATCCTGGTATAACCATTCAAAGTCCAGTGATGTACCAGTACGTCGCTGGTCCTTGTTGGGTATATATACAATGTTCTTTTTTTTTTGTATGCAGCCTGTGGACTGAATGACAAAAATGAGAAGAAATCTCTGCCAGAAAAAGTGTGTGCTATGCCCACCATTAGAATATCCTGCCCTGTGTCCACCCACTTCTAATGGTGGGCACACATTAGGTCACAATTTGCCACAAGCGCCAGTTCCAAGATTGAACAAATGTCTAAATAGTGGCACGCTTGATGAATAAAAATTGTCCACGTATAAGTGGTACCCCATATGGAAAAAGGATGACACCAAGTCCCAAACTATCTTGTCACTGCTCCCCATGTAGTCTGGGCATCCAGGGGGCTCCACGTGACTATCTTTTCCCTCGTAAATCCGAAACTTATAAGTATAGCTTGTTGTCCTCTCACAGATCGTCTACATCTTGACCCCATATCTATATTTCTCAAATGCAAAGCACACACTGAAAAAATACCCAGAAAAGTAATCCACCTCCACCCTGAAGGTTAAAAAATTATATATAAAGACTTTTCTTTTAAATAAAACCATATAAATATCCCAAATATCAAGGCAAACCCCACTCGTATAAACAAATGTTCAATAAAGTCTCTTTTTTTCTTCTTTTCCACGAAAAAATTATTTTTCTCAACAGGATCCTTTGAAAAAGTCACAGGATGTCAGACGCATCGACGTTGACAGGAAGTGCGATCGCGGCCATCTTGGAAGTGGGAACATGTGGCCAGTATTCCCTAGTCTGTTTGCATGTACATCTCGATGAGGAGGAGCTGCCTTACTCTTACTGTAATGTAAGTTATTGAATAAAGGTTGTCATTTATTGAATCTACCATATGTAATTTCGATTTTCTTATGAGGAGAATGGAAGATAAATCACTGTATTGGATCTAAATACTGGATGGAATTCTACAGCTAAGGAGATTTGTATCAAGCCCTGTTTTTGGATATATAGGGTAATTATCCATCTAGCACATGAGTTGGAGATCATTTTTTGGTTGGGGATGTGTGTAGGATCACTGATATATTAAGTGTGGTGTCACAAAGTTGCAGTGTTGCAAGTTTCACAGATTCACATAGTGGATGTGATATGTGTATGTTTCACTGGTTATATATTTGGTGACACAGAAATATATGTGTATATGTTGATATTCACATAGAGAGTATATATTTTTTTTTTTTGTGTGTGTGTTTTGGA